GTCCTCATGGCCCTTATGCCCAGGGCTACACACGTGCTACAATGGGCGGTACAAAGGGTTGCGAAGCCGCGAGGTGGAGCCAATCCCAAAAAGCCGTCCTCAGTTCGGATTATAGTCTGCAACTCGACTATATGAAGGTGGAATCGCTAGTAATCGCGGATCAGCATGCCGCGGTGAATACGTTCCCGGGTCTTGTACACACCGCCCGTCACACCATGGGAGTCGTTTGCTCCAGAAGTCGGTGACCCAACCTTAGGGAGGGAGCCGCCGAAGGAGTGGACGGTGACTGGGGTGAAGTCGTAACAAGGTAGCCGTAGGGGAACCTGCGGCTGGATCACCTCCTTTTACGGAGACGATGCTCGCAAGAGCATCCGACCGGCCAATCATTCAAGCCTCGCGCTGACTGCTTTTCTCGTCTCTTTGCGCCGCTTTTTCCAAGTGGACGTTTCTCCTCTTCCGAGCTCCTGTAAACTTCTTCAAATAAAGCACCATATAGACGCACCTGTAGCTCAGCTGGTTAGAGCACACGACTGATAATCGTGAGGTCGGAAGTTCAAATCTTCCCAGGTGCACTCATGTAGCGAGCACAGGCTCGACGCATGGGGGATTAGCTCAGTTGGGAGAGCGACGGCTTTGCAAGCCGTAGGTCATCGGTTCGAGCCCGATATCCTCCACTGTGGCAAGCGTTTCGAATCCGAAACACTCGCCGCACTCTTTGACAAGTGAATAGGAATCTCGAACGTGACATGAATAAGCACGTTCAACTGCGGATAAGAAAAGTCCTGGCGACAGGTTTTTTCTCCGCGGAAGAACAAAATTATTCTGGTTCGTCACGAATACAATGCAACGGCAAGTAGACATGGCCTTGGAGCCAGTCAGCTTTGCCAGCATATTCGATGACGCGCCTTGACTCGAGTAAGAAGATAGAAAGGGCGTGCGGCGGATGCCTAGGCATTTGCTGTCGATGAAGGACGTGAGAGGCTGCGATATGCCTCGGGGAGCTGCCAACTAAGCTATGATCCGAGGATTTCCGAATGGGGAAACCCAACCTTTAACGAGGTTACGGCACACTGAATACATAGGTGTGTCGAGGCAACCTGGGGAATTGAAACATCTCAGTACCCAGAGGAACAGAAAACAATAGTGATTCCCTCAGTAGCGGCGAGCGAACGGGGATTAGCCCAAACCATGGAAGCTTGCTTTCATGGGGTTGTAGGACCAACAACAACGCTATCCGAATAAACAACCGAACGATGTGGAAACTCGTACCATAGAGGGTGATAGTCCCGTAGGTGAAGTTTTGAAGGAGGCAAGTTGGCACCTGAGTACGGTGGGACACGTGATATCCTGCCGGAAGCTGGGAGGACCATCTTTCCAAGGCTAAATACACGCAAATGACCGATAGTGAACAAGTACCGTAAGGGAAAGGTGAAAAGCACCTCTGACAGAGGAGTGAAATAGAACCTGAAACCGCATGCCTACAAGCAGTGGGAGCTCCATATGCGAGTGACCGCGTGCCTTTTGCATAATGAGTCAGCGAGTTACTGCTATGCAGCAAGGTTAAGTCGACGAGACGAAGCCGCAGGGAAACCGAGTCCTAACCGGGCGCACAGTTGTATGGCGTAGACCCGAAGCCGGGTGAGCTACCCATGGCCAGGTTGAAGTTCCGGTAACACGGAATGGAGGACCGAACCCACTGATGTTGAAAAATCAGGGGATGAGCTGTGGGTAGGGGTGAAAGGCCAATCAAACTCGGCAATAGCTGGTTCTCCTCGAAATATATTTAGGTATAGCCTTGAGGAATTCACTTGCGGGGGTAGAGCACTGAATGGGCTAGGGGGTTTACCAACTTACCAAACCCAATCAAACTCCGAATACCGCAAAGTGTTATCTCAGGAGTCAGTCCACGGGTGATAACGTCCGTGGTCAAGAGGGAAACAACCCAGACCGCCAGCTAAGGCCCCTAAGTTCTAGTTAAGTGGGAAAGGATGTGGGAGCACACAGACAACCAGGAGGTTGGCTTAGAAGCAGCCACCCTCTAAGGAAAGCGTAATAGCTCACTGGTCAAGTGAACCTGCGCCGAAAATATAACGGGGCTCAAACTAGACGCCGAAGCTGCGGACTACGTTTACGTAGTGGTAGAGGAGCATTCCAGTCGCCTGTGAAGGGATACCGTGAGGAGTCCTGGAGGTTCTGGAAGAGAGGATGCTGACGTGAGTAACGATCAATGGGGTGAGAATCCCCATCGCCGAATACCGAAGGGTTCCTGGGCCAGGCTCGTCCTCCCAGGGTTAGTCGGGACCTAAGGCGAGGCCGAAAGGCGTAGTCGATGGAAAGCAGGCAAATATTCCTGCACCATCTTTTTAGATGCTCGAGCACGAGAAGGGACGGAGAAGGCTAGGTTCGCCGGCTGTTGGATACGCCGGTGTAACCCCGTAGGGTGACTGAGTTGGAGGTTTTGTGCCACAAACGCTCGGTTAGACCTGAGAGGGGATGCAGAGCTGCCCGCATCTGGGCGGCTGAATCAATGAATCGATGCCATACTTCCAAGAAAAGCTTCGCGTGTGAGTCTAATTAGATGCCCGTACCAAAACCGACACAGGTTGGTAGGTGGAGTACACCAAGGCGCGTGAGAGAACCCTGGTTAAGGAACTCGGCAAATTGACACCGTAACTTCGGGAGAAGGTGTGCCTACAAGGTGAAGTACCTCGCGTACGGAGCTGTCGTAGGTTGCAGAGAAGAGGGGGTAGCGACTGTTTACCAAAAACACAGGACTCTGCGAAATCGTGAGATGACGTATAGGGTCTGACGCCTGCCCGGTGCCGGAAGGTTAAGAGGAGCGGTTAGTCGTAAGGCGAAGCTGTGAATCGAAGCCCCGGTAAACGGCGGCCGTAACTATAACGGTCCTAAGGTAGCGAAATTCCTTGGCGGGTAAGTTCCGTCCTGCACGAATGGCGTAACGACTTCCCCACTGTCTCAACCAGGGACTCAGTGAAATCGAATTTGCGGTGAAGATGCCGTATTCCCGCGACAAGACGGAAAGACCCCGTGAACCTTTACTATAGCTTGGCAGTGATGTTCGGACGTGTTTGTGTAGGATAGGTGGGAGACTTTGAAGCCGGCGCGCCAGCGTCGGTGGAGTCGTCCTTGAAATACCACCCTGACCCGTCTGGCCATCTAACCTCGCTCCCTTATCGGGAGCAGGGACACTGTCTGGTGGGTAGTTTGACTGGGGCGGTCGCCTCCCAAAATGTAACGGAGGCGCGCAAAGGTTCGCTCAGGCTGATTGGAAACCAGCCGAAGAGTGTAAAGGCAGAAGCGAGCTTGACTGCGAGACTGACAGGTCGAGCAGGTGCGAAAGCAGGCCTTAGTGATCCGGTGGTTCCGCATGGAAGGGCCATCGCTCAACGGATAAAAGGTACTCCGGGGATAACAGGCTGATCTCCCCCAAGAGTCCACATCGACGGGGAGGTTTGGCACCTCGATGTCGGCTCATCACATCCTGGGGCTGGAGTAGGTCCCAAGGGTTTGGCTGTTCGCCAATTAAAGTGGTACGCGAGCTGGGTTCAGAACGTCGTGAGACAGTTCGGTCCCTATCTGTCGTGGGCGCAGGAAAATTGAGAGGATTTGACCCTAGTACGAGAGGACCGGGTTGAACGCATCCCTCGTGTACCGGTTGTTCCGCCAGGAGCATCGCCGGGTAGCGACATGCGGAAAGGATAACCGCTGAAAGCATCTAAGCGGGAAGCCCCCCTCAAGATGAATTTTCCCTGAAGGTCCGTTCAAGACGAGGACGTGGATAGGTGTTAAGTGGAAGCTCAGTAATGGGCGGAGCTGAGACATACTAATCGACCGTTCGTCTTTTTCTTCGATAGCGCGTCATTCAAATATGACTGGTGCTGCCTGGCCTCAAGGCCATGAGTGCATGCCTTAGTTGCATTGTTCGAGATTCCGACTTCACAACTGAAGTCCAAGAGCTTGGTTGGTGGCAAGTGCGGAGGGGGTCCACCCGATCCCATCCCGAACTCGGAAGTTAAGCCCTCCAGCGTCGATGGTACTGCATGGGAGACTGTGTGGGAGAGTAGATCGCTGCCAACCATTTTTTAAAAAGAGCCGATTCATCTTTACGATGAATCGGCTCTTTTGTTTTCTTGTTTCTCTTGCTTATTTCTCTTCCCCCCTCAATCCCCCAATTCTGCATTCGCGCTCATTTTTCATCGCTTCGCTCTCTGAAAAATAACACGATCATCCGCTCGACTGCGTCTCGCGGAGCTATGCTTGTTTTTCGGGCAGTCCCTGCATCCGCGCCTCGCTCGCTGCGCTCGCAAGACACGACCATCCGCTCGACTACGTCTCGCGGAGCTATGCAGGGGGGACTTGGGCTGCATCACAGAAGGGTCGAGTTTTACACTGAGAAAATAGGACTTGGGGTACCTCACCGAAGGTTTTTATCTGCAATGAGAAAATAGGGCTTGGGTGCCTCACAGAAGGGTCGAGTTTTGCAGTGAAGAAATAGAACTCAGGCAACCTCACCGAAGCTTTGCGTTTTGCATGCGACGGAGCCCCCCACCGAGCAGAAGAAAGACGCGGTGAGGGAGCAAGCGTGGCGGGGGTGCCAATGGGAGACAAACGCAGAGCAGTCGAGCCTTGGCGCCCCCGCCATGCGCAGCGACCAAGCGCGCGTCGCTTCTTCTCGCGAGGATACTGGGGGGTTGGGGGGGAAGAGATCAGAGTGCGCATTGCTTCGGCGCCATCTTCACACCCGGAGCGCCCCTACGCTTCGGTGCCTTCATCTCATCAGAAGCGCCCTACGCATCGGCGCCGTCATCACGCTCGGAGTTCCCCAATGCTTTGGCGCTAACTTCAGACCAAAAGCTCTTCTACGCTTTCAGCGCTAGTGTCACGCTCGGAGCTCCTCTACGCACTGGCGCCAACTCCACACCAGAACTTCTCTGGTGCTTTGGCGCCTGCATTTCATGGCAAACTTAACGTCTGCCAACCATCAGGAGCCAGCCATAGAGGATCAACTCGAGCTGCGCGTCGATCTGTTTGAGGAAGAACTCCATATGTTGGTAATCGGGCGCGTCACCCATCAGCAGGATGTTGTTCTGGGCGGTGATGGCCGCGTGGATCGCCTCGGTGGCGGTCTCGATGGGGAGGGCGATATGGAGGGAGCCTGACTTGGTGTAGTACTCGAGCAGCGTGCGGATCGTTTCGACAGCCGCGAGCTCGAAAAACAGCGTGTGGCTGCCCACATTCTCCGGCTCGGTAAAACTCGCCGCCAACAGGTGCTTCCCGAGCGCCAGGTCCCACTCGAGCGTTTGCGTGAGCACGACGCGGGCGACAGCGCCCAGGGCTTCTCTGGGATCGCCTGGCGGATCTTCTGTCAGGGCATCGAAGCGTTCGTGCAAGTGCCCCACAGCGTCTTGTTTTAGTTCGGGAAGGAGCGCTGCCTTGGAGGGGTAGTAATTGTAGACGGTGCCTACCGCCAATCCGGCATCTTTGGCGATGTCCGAGAGGCTGGTGGCGTCATACCCCTTGCTGTTGAAGAACTTGGTGGCCGCGGCGATGATTCGGACGCGTCGTTCTTTCTTCTGCTTCTCTCGCTTTCCGCCCATGTGCCGCTCGCTTTCATGAAAGTTGAGTGGATTCATGATTTTAGAGTAGCAGCCTGTGTAGCGCAGGCAAGAAAATGAATGCATTCATTCTATTGCGCGGCGGATCTGCTGGTGGCCTTATATATGGCGGGGGAGGGCGCGTCCTTGTTTGCTTGTCTGCTGGCGAGCTCGTCTCACTGGGAGCGTTTTCTTGGCTACAGATGAGTTATGTGTCGAGCGCGAGGGTTGTTTTCTAGCGTCGCCAAGACTCCCGGAGGAGCGTTCGGCGTGGCGCTCTTTTTATGGTCTCGCGCGATGTGACAGGGAGCTGCCTTCCACGTTTTGGCAGCGGTCTCGCTCACTGACACCCTCGTGTGCGCACACGCGTTATAATCAGGTGTATGTTCCTCGGTTTGTCGGAAAAGCGCAAAAAAGTTTGGTGGGATGAAATAAAATCGGGGAGCGCTCGTATTATATATCGTGAATGATGCGAGAGGCACCCGTCACTCGCCATACAGTTTGACCCTCCTACTTTGAGGACGACCACGATGAACACCGAGCGCCAAAATACGCTGCTCCCCCTCTCGAGCTCTTGCGGCTTACAGACCTCCTGTCTGTATCTATGTCGCTATCTGCTCTTGTCGGAGGAGGCTGCGCTGCTCGGTTATTCAAGCTGAAGAATCGTCCCAGCGCTCTCGATTGGCACTGTCGCCAATGGGTAAGCCTCCTCCGCGAATCAACACGGAGCGAGGCTTTTTTCATGTCTTTTTTCCAGGCATGAACGAGAGCCTCCAAGAACCAACATAAAACAAGATCGCTCATCCGGGTTGGATGAAACGAGCGCTGGCCATGGACCAGAGGGGCTTCGATGAACCTCTCTTCTGTCGCCAAAACTCGAAGGTCGCGTGACGCGTTTGATTTCGTGTCGCCACCGACCGCCGGCAGCTCCCTGCCTTTGACCCGGCGTACGGACGGATAGCACGTAATTGGTAGCGTCGCTGGCTGTAAACCAGTTGCCTTCGGGCCTTGGGGGTTCGAGTCCCTCTCCATCCATCCGCGTCCACTCGAGAGAAGCGTCGTTTAAAAAACGACGGCTTCGTCAAGAGAGGTGCGTCATAAGCCTCGGTATCCCAATGGCAGAGGATGCCGACTAAGGATCGCTATGTTGTGGGTTCGACTCCCACCCGAGGCACTGCGAGAGCGCGTCATTCTTGTAATGACATCCTCTCGCACACATAAGCCCTGGTGTCCCAACTGGTAGAGGATGCCGACTAAGGATCGGTATGTTGTGGGTTCGAACCCCACCCAGGGTATTCGGCCATGTGCTCCGTAAAGCACGCGGTCGTCGAGGATGGATAGCACGTAATCGGTAGCGTCGCTGGCTGTAAACCAGTTGCCTTCGGGCCTTGGGGGTTCGAGTCCCTCTCCATCCACTGCTTGTCGTCGCGATGTCGTCGTCAAGCTCATGCCCTGGTGCCCCAATTGGCAGAGGGAGCCGTTTCAAACGCGGTTTGTTGTGGGTTCGAGTCCCACCCAGGGTACTGCTCGCCAGCGTTGGCGAGCATATGGACGGGTAGAACGTAATCGGTAGCGTGGTTGGTTGTAACCCAGCTGTCTTTCGACCTTGGGGGTTCGAGTCCCTCCCTGTCCACTCGTGTTCATGCGCCAAAAACGCATGAAGCGATGCCTCGGTATCCCAATGGCAGAGGATGCCGGCTAAGAATCGGTATGTTGTGGGTTCGAGTCCCACCCGAGGCACTGGTCCTTCGCGCCCTTACGGTTGGAGCTTACATACTAGCCCAATTGGAAGAGGCATCTGATCGCAACTCAGAGTGATGCGGGTTCGAGTCCTGCGTTGTTTCTCGCTTGTCGAGAAGCTCTGACGACTCGCGCGAAGGACCACACATAGGGGCAAGTAGACTCGTAATTGGAAGCGGGGCTCGATTGCAAATCGAGAGCTTTACGCCTTGTGGGTTCGAATCCCTCCTTGCCCTCTCGGGAGCCTGGACGCTCCTGTTTGCCTCGGTATCCCAATCTGGCAGAGGACGCCGACTAAGGATCGGTGTGTTGTGGGTTCGAGCCCCACTCGAGGCATCACCTGCTCGCTCTCTCCCGAGTTGCAGGTCACATAAGCCCTGGTATCCCAATGGCAGAGGACGCCGGCTCAGAATCGGTGCGTTGTGGGTTCGAGTCCCACCCAGGGCATGCGCCAACCTTTGGTTGGCGCGCATACAAACAAGGGCGAGTAGTCCCGTAATTGGCAGCGGGGCGCGATTGCAAATCGCGAGCTCTCATGTCCTGTGGGTTCGAACCCCACCTCGCCCTCTTGTTTGCCTCGGTATCCCAACGGCAGAGGACGTCGGCTCAGAACCGATGTGTTGTGGGTTCGAATCCCACCCGAGGCATTGTGGCCCAGTAGCCCAATCGGCAGAGGCAGCCGACTTAAAATCGGTATGTTGTGGGTTCGAGTCCCACCTGGGTCATTCTCCTGCCAGCGCGAAACGAAAAACCGACCTTTAGGTCGGTTTTTCGTTTTTCACCTCTTGCGCACCCCTCGTGATGTTTTATGCTTGATGCATCTGACAGTTGAGTTGGTTTCATGCCTGCGGCCATGCAGCATGAATCACAGACGTCGCGATCCAGGAGCCCCCGGTTCAAGGAGAGGTCTTTGCGTTTTATTAGGAATGCGCGGTGCGTTGCCATCGCATCGTTGTGTGCTTTGATCACCTTTACTGCGTTCGAGCAGGCGGCCAGCGCTCAGGCCGCACCCAAAGACGAGAAACCCCGCGGGACGGCGTATGATGTGAGCGGTCAGCTGCGCGTGCGCTCGACCCGCATCGAACCCCTCGAGCTAAGCGGGACCCAGGTCCCGGTCATGCAGTGGACCGAGCAGCGAATGCGTCTCGACGCGTCACTCTCCAAGCCAGGGCTTGGCCGCATCACCTTCCAGGGGGACGCGCTCGATGGCGTGCTGTTTGGTGATAACGGCGACTTCGCAGGCGATCCATCGAGTAACTCGGGCATCTCGCTCTCATCCAAGGTCCCCAACCTGACGCGTTGGACCGTCGGCCTCCCCAATGAGGACGCGGACGCCTTCGAGCGGACCTCGTATATCCCAGTGCTCGAGGCCGCGCCTGCCTTCGAGCTCAACTACCTCTATGGGGACGTGATCCTGCCGCTCGGGTTGCTTCGCGTGGGGCGCCAGCCGATCAGTTATGGCGCCTCGATCGCAGGCCATGACGGTGGACGCTATAACCGCTTCGGCGTGAGCAAGTACTCTGACGCCGTCGATCGCATCCTCTTCGGGACAAAGATCGACGAGGCGATCAAGATCGCGAGCAACCCCGATCATATCCCCAACACCTCGCTCGATTCGGGCGTGGTCTTCGCGCTCTTCTACGACTTCATGAAGCAGGACGACGTTCAGATCCTTGGCGATGACCTTCGTCAGATGGGCATGGCGCTCGAGCTTCGTAGGAAGAGCGCCGATTGGCTCGGGTTTGACTGGGGCAACGTGCTGGTCGGCGGTCGCGCGGTGTACCTGCGGAACGAGCAGTTCGATACAGACGTCTTCGGGCTCCCTTTTATCGCCAGCGCCAGCATCGAGAACCTCGACCTCGAGCTCCAGTACATCCACACGCGCGGCAAGACGCGCGAGATCTCGGAAGGGTTCGCCGCGCTCTCGAGCGCCGAACCTCAGCGACAGCAACTCACCGCCCATGGCGCTCGCGCCGTGGCCGATGTGAACCTCGGGCGCGTCGTCCTCACGATGGAGTTCGACTACGCCTCGGGAGATGGTGATCCTCGCTCGAGCACGCCGATCACATCGTTTAGCTTCGCGCGCGATATGAACGTCGGCCTGCTCCTCTTCGAGCACATCATCGCGTTCGAGTCCGCGCGCTCTGTGGCCGTCGGCGTCGAGAACCTCTCGGACCTCGACGTGGAGTCCTTCCCGCTGACCGAGGTGCAGACCGACGGGCGCTTTACCAACGCCGTCGCGCTCTTTCCTCAAATCTATGTCGATCTCGTCCGAAATGACGATCACCGCGTCTGGCTTCGCTCCGGCGCTTTGATCGCCTGGCCCGAGGATGAAATCGGCCTGGTGGATCCCGTGATGACGACGCTCTCCGAGGACGGGAGCGAAATTCGCGATGACGCGGTGAACTTTCACGGCGGCTCGCCCGGTAACTTCTACGGGGTCGAGGTCGACGCCCAGCTCGGTTGGAATCTCAAGAAGCATTTCGATTGGGTCGTCGAAGGCGGTATACTTTTCCCCGGCAACTCCCTCCAAGACGAGAACGGCGATGCGGTCAACTCTTACATCATTGAAAATCGTTTCGTGTTCACTTTTTAGTCTGGCCTTGGCGCTGGGCGGGTGTTCAAACTTTGTCTACGATCCTCCCCCGGAGGTTTCGATGATCCTCCCCGAGGTCGGAGCTTTTGACGCCGGTGATCCGGTCAAGCTCGACTTCAGCGAGCCGATCGACTCTTCGAGCTTCGAGGTTCGCGTCTGGCAAACCCAGCTCGATGAGGAGCTCGAGATCCCGGAGGACGCCGAGCCTGTCGTCGCCTCTTGCGGCCTCGAGGACGCTGACTGCGACGGGTTGAGCATCACCGCGGTCGAAGACGATGACGGAATTATCGGCGCCGAGCTCGCCTTTGACCCTGCCGGAATCGGTCGGCCTGGCACGCCATTGATCTTGGAAGTGCGCAGCGGTCTGGCCGATCGCGATGGCTACGAAACAGGCGTGAGCACATACTACAACATCCAGTTTCGGGACCCGAATGGTCGGTTCAATGACAGGCCCGTCCCCTTCGAGGATGGCGTCTTCATCTTCTCCTCGATCATCGACAAGCCGATCCCCGCCGTCCTGACGCTGATCAGTGATGTGAGGGTGCTCGAGGATGGCCGCTTTTATATGGCGGGCGGAGAGGGCGATGAGATCAACGGCGCGCCAAAGACAACGGTGGACCCCGAGAACTTGATCGTCGACCCCACCGAGCAGGGTTGGGCCGTGCAC